ATACCAATATTGATTATTTTATTAAGAATTTCAGCTGCAAATAATAAACGTGCATCATATGATGGAAGATTTGCTAAATCTGATAATATCTAAAACAAATTAAAAAAAAAAAGAAGAAAATACAAGAAATGAAATCATCTTATTATAATTCAATCTTACTTTCTTTTGATCTAAATTTGGAATAAATTGTTGTAGAAAAGCATAAAGCTACAAAATAAACATCCGATAGTAAAATATAATAAAATAAAATCAATTAAAAAGAACAAAAAAAAAGATCACATACCACTGCAGCTTCAGCATGTTTAGGTTCATTAAATTTTGTTCTATATTGTTTTGTATGAGTAGCAACATATGAATGACTACCATCAAGTAATAAAAGTTGTGCAATTGATGGAAGTTGTAAAGCAATTTCAACGGCAATACAAGCGCCAAACGAATAACCACCAATTAAATATGGACCAGTTGGTTGTATTTCAACAATTTTCTAAAACAAAAATTTATAGATAAAATTATTAAAAGAGACTTTTAATATCTACTTTGATATAGTATGCAGCAATATCTTCAATAGATGTATTAGGTACATCATTAGTTGATTGAATTCCAAATACTGTAATTGGTAAACGTTGTGAAAGTTCTCTTAACATTTCTACATGACCTTCAATAGGATGAATAAGAAATAAATGTTGATATTTATTTGATTTAACTGTTTCATTCAATAAAACTATTAAATCTTTTGGTAATAATTGATTAAGATCAAATAATGATATTGATGATGTTTTTTTAGTTTCTGTATTATTTATTGTTGTTGTTGTTGTTGTTGTTGTTGTTGTTGTTGATACTGATGAATTTGAATCAATTTCTTTCAAACGTTTTATAGTTAATTGTTGAATTTCTTTTGAATTAGCTAATGATATTGAATATTTTTGTTCAAGTAATTGTTTTATTTCTACACTACCCAATGAATCCAAACCAAGATCAGCTAATGTACTATCTAAAGACATTGTACTTGCATCTGATATACCAAGAATATTTGCAATTGTTTCAATTAAACTAATTGATATTGTTGATGATCCTGATGTTTTTTGTAATTTTTCAGCAAGAATATAAGATGAAACAATAGGTATATTTGTAGATTGTTGAAGAAAATAATCTATTGTTTCTAAACAAGATGTCATTCGTTGTGGTAATGTACCACCAATAACTGTATCATTTGATCCTAAATTTTCAATAACCATACCAACATCTCCAATAGCACCCCATTGAATTGCTAAAGCTAAAAACAACAAAGATGTTTAGTTGATAAATTAAATGTTTTTTGTTTTTTTATTGTTGTTGTTCTATAATACCTGATAAATCATCTTTTTGTCTTTGTTCACAAATACGTTCCATAGTTGAATTAGCATAACCATAATTAGTTTGTCCAGCATTACCA